ATGTGGTGCTGGGGGATTGAACCGCGGTCCACGTGCTTTGCTAAGCTTGTTCTAAGTAGGTGCTTTAGACCACTGAGCCATCTCACCAGCCCCTCGATATGGTATATTTTGAAAAGTTTAAACTATAGTGAATTTTTGGGGGCTGGGGAGATGGCTCAGTGGAATAAGTGCTTCCTTGGCAAGCGCAAGGGCCTGAGTTCAATCCCCGGTTCTGCCAAAAACAACCAAAAAAAAAAAAAAAAACCCACATAAAATTATAGTGAATTTTTTTTTGTGTGTTTTTTCTCCCCCTTTTTCTTTTGAGATAGTGAACTTATTACAGTTTACTATTTGTCCCAGGCCAATCTCAGAACTCCCAGCCATTCTTCTACCTCAGTCTCCCAAGTGTTGGGATCACAGGCATATACCATCATGCCCAGTTATTGAGCTGGAATTTTGTAAGAAAGTAAAAGAATATTATTAGGAAGTTTTCCACATCATGAAGGAGGATGGCTGAGTTCAAGGCCATCCTAGGCTACATAGCATGAACTTGTCTCAAAAAATAAACCTAAAAAAACAAAAAACAACTCCCCCTCCACAAAGGAAGGACAGCCAGTGTGTTTACATATCCTAAAACCCCTGTGCCACAAGAGGCTGAAGTAAAAGCATCCTGAATTCAAGTCTAGCCTTAACAACATAATGAAACCTTGTCTCAAAGTTAAAATTTTTTAAAAAGGACTGGGGATGTAGTTTCCTGTCAAATCATACTATGGAGTAAGCCATCATTTCATCAATGCTAAGCATGGGCTTTGGCTCCCTAGATGGTGAGGATGAAAAGCAGAGGACTGCCTTGGTCAGACCAGCAAGCTGGGCTCCACCCAGAGAGCAGACTAGTGAGAGGAAGAGCTCCTCTGTACGCTGTGGGCTGCAGCCTACAGATGCATAGTGTGGCCGGTGCCAAGTGCACACAAGGCTTAAGAGAAAGCGTGTTTCTGCTCACCACTTCTCTAGCTGTTCCAGCCCAGGCTTTAGTGGGGCTCCAATGCAGGCTCTCTGCTGCTGGGTTTTCCACTCATCCAAGTTTGGCAGTAGGAGATTGACGAGGGTGGTCAGTCGGCCTAGCAGCGCTTTGGAGGCATCAAGCACCTCCTAGGAGAGAGCCGGTATGCACGCTCTAAGCACATGCCCAGCACCTCCCACCCTCCTACTAAGGGAGAGGAGGAAAGGAAGTCAAGGCCTCGGGGCCAGAACCTCCAGAGGCCTCTATTTTCCCATTTCCCTTCTGCCCACTCCATCCTCTGCCTCCCACCTTTCTCCTTTTGTCCAGTTCATTGAGAGTTTCTTGCACAAGCTGCCGCTGTTTGTTCTGATGTGGGTCAGAGGACGAGGTCCCTGAACAGCAGGAAGGAGAGTCAGAACAGGTGCTCCTTCCCTCTCCTTCCTGCCTCGGGGTCTCAGTCAGAATCACAAAGGGGAATCTTTATTGTTTCCTTTTGTTTTGAGACAGGGTCTCTTGCTGTGTAGTTCAAGGTGGCCTTGAGTTCACTAGCTCAGATTGGCCTCAATGGCATGGTAATCCTCCTGCCTCAGCCTTCCAAGTGCTGGGATTACAAGAAAGAAGAATCTTTAGTGGGAGAAAAAGGAAAAAAAACAAACAAAGCACAGGCAACCAGAGACCCTCGGGCAAATATGAACGGACTGGAAGGTCCAGGTCTCCTCCCCTGCTAAGGCAGTTTTTCAAGCATCTCTTCCAACATCCATTAGCTTCCCTCTGCTGCACCTCAGGCCCAACCTCCAAAACACACCGTGGCACTCTGAGCTCTGTGTGGCAGCAGGAATATAGTCTGAGAGAAGTGACCAAAGGTGACTACTGCCCACTGGTGCTTTCCCCTTCTATTCTCCTCCACCATTGGCCTCCCAGCAGACACCTGTCCTCTCTCCCACCCCTTTGAATGCTTCATACCTTTATTGAGTACCATATATCGAAAGCTGAAGACATCATGAAGGTCTTTCACTTGTCGGATGGACTTCACCAGCATCTGCAGAGGCATGGAACCCCAATAAGGCTGCTTCTAACAGAGGAGACAGGGTGAGCCCTGCCCACCCCAACTCTTGCCATGGACCAACCTCCATCATAGCCCTTAAATCCAGGATCCGGGATTCAATCTCAGACTGCTGGCTCTCCACAGGTACTTCCACAGTTGGACTTCCTTGCCCCTAAAATAAGAGGCTCTGAGCATCTTTAACTCTGACCTTTCACCCCTCAAATCCAGGCCTGACACTATACCACTGGACGTGAGGTAATTCCGTTCTGAAACAAATTCCCTGAATCTTTTTCACAGTCCTTATCTACTGCTATCCCAGGAGTCTCCAACACCACAAATTCTTCTCACCACTTCAGCCCTCTGAGCCTGGTTCAGAATTCTTTTTTCTTCCAGAAGGAGATTAAAGATCATCTCAGCCAATTGGGTAGAGCCCTGCGGTAAGGCCTAGAGTAGGGAAAGAGGAAGGATTGATCTAATTCAACTACCTTCAATAACTTACCCGTCAAGACCCTCCCACTAAGGTCTCTGGCCCTGTTCCCTTTGACTTCAAACCAGGCATTTTCCCAACAGCATCAGCCAGACTGCACTGCTGCCCACCAGTGATCCTCCAAGTCCAAATGCTGACCCTCTCTCCCCAAATCTGCTTCTTTCCCTTCATGCCTCCAGATACCACACCCCCAACTTCACACTTGGCTGCCAGTCCTGCCTCATTCACAATTCTTCCAAGCACCTGAATGTCCCGGCAGAATTTTCGTAAGTTGTGCTGCAGCAGTAAACTGCACTCGGGATCTTGGCTGCAACGGCCACATTCATTGTTCAGTTGGTCCACAAACTGGAAGAACAGCATGTTGGCCTTGGAATTATCATTGCCTAGTGCAGCTTCCTGCCTGCGGACCAGAAATAACAAGGATTAATGTCTCGGCAAGGGAGCTGCTGTCCTGAAGGCCTTTCAACCCCTTTTAAGATCCCTCTAAAATCCTGGGAGCCTAAAAGATAGGAACCACCCTCCTCATCTGCCCAACTCCTGAACCACTCACTCACCAGTTCTGGTCTTCAATCCAGACAGCCAAGTGCTGCCGGATGTCCACTGGCAGGAGGGTGTGTAAGTACAGCTGGTCCAGTTTGTCCTGAAATGAGCTGTCAAGGTTCTGCAGCCTCTCCCATTGAGCCATTTGGGTTCTGTGTTGAAAGGATGTAAGTTCTCCAAAGGATATTTTGTTGGACTAAAGCACAGACAAGTAAAAAATACAGAAAACATTAAAGTCTACATTGAGTCAACTCCCAATAATCCTCCTATCCCTTCCTCTTCAGAAAAGACCACTGTTACGGTTTGGTACACATTCTTCCTGGGAGTACTATTTATTTATTTATTTTGTTCTTTTTTTTTTTTTTTTGCGGAACCGGGGATTAAACTCAGGCCCTTGCGCTTGCCAGGGAAGTGCTTATTCTACTGAGCCATCTCCCTGCCCCCTTATTTATTTTGGCAGAACCAGGGATTGAACTCAGATCCTTGCACTTGCCAGGGAAGCGCCTATTCTACTGAGCCATCTCCCAGGCCCAGGGAGTATTACACAATAGCTCCAACATGTGACCCTTTTTGTTTTAATGGTAATTTTCTACTTATTTAGTTAGTGCACACAAAAATAAATAAATAAATAAATAAATTTTATGGCTGGTGAGATGGCTCAGTGGTCTAAAGCACCTACTTAGAACAAGTTTAACAAAGCACAGGGACCGTGGTTCAATCCCCTAGCACCACATGCCAGCCAGCCCTACCCCCAGGCGGGCTGAGCTGGCCACACATACACACAAAAATAAATAAATAAATAGTTAGTGCACTGGGTATTAAATTGCACTGAACTATATCTCCAGCTCTTAAAAAAAAAATTATTGGAGTCTCGGGAGATAACTTAGTAGAATAAGCGCTTGCCTGGTAAGTGCAGGGTCCTGAGTTTAATCCCTGGTACCGCAAAAAACAAAAACAAAAAACTGAGATAAGGTCCCTCTAAGTCACTAAGTGCTGGGTTTGAACTTGCAAACTCGCAATCCTCCTGTTTGAGCTTCTCAGAGTGCTGAGATTACAAGTGTGTGTCACCAATACCTAGCTTTTAATGGTAATTTTCAAACACAGAAGCAGAATGAAGGGCTGGGGAGATGGCTCAGTAGAATAAGCACTTGCCTGGCAAGCACAAAGGCCTGAGTTCAATCCCCAGTTCCGCAAAAAAAAAAAAAAAAAAAGAAGTAGAATGAATAGTACAAGGATCATCCATGTACCCATCATCCAAATATTAGTCAACAAATATTTCTACTATCATATTTCATCTGATTCATTTTATTTTATTAATATTGTATTCATTTGTTTGGTACAGGGTCTTGCTACGCACAGCCTGTCTCAGCTTCCCTAGTGCTAGGATACTGGTATGGACCACCATGCCAGTCTTGATGGCCAGTACAGCACACCCAGCATGTAGTACTGGGTGGGGATCAAACCCCAGTTTTTGTGCTTGCCACACAGGTGCTTAGACTGCTGGACTAGCTCCATAGCCCCTTCTTATTCATTTAAATTTGGTTGTGTTGGAGCAAAGATCAGTGTTCTTTTTTGTAGGTACTAGGAATTGAACTCAGGACCTCATGCTTGCCAGGTAGGTTCTGTGCTGCTGTTATATCCCCAGCTGAGTTTTGTCTTAAATATTTATATTCCCTGGGGGCCAGGAAGATGGCTCAGTGAAATAAGCGCTTCCCTGGCAAGCGCAAGGGCCTGAGTTTAATCCCTGGTTCCGCAAAAAAAAAAAAAAAAAAAAAAAAATCCTTATAAGTAACTGAGACAGCGGACAGAGGAATACTACCAAGAGATAAACAAAACTGGAATAAAAAATACTGATTAGATTCAATAATATAGAAATCATTAGTTTTTCTGGTGAGACCTGTTTCAGGGGAGTTGTGGATAGGTGAAGTGAAGGAAGATGCTGGAGGGAATGAACAAAGAACACGAAGGAGGGTGTGAAAACTGGCAAGAGTAGACAACTCTGGAGACCTGGCTCTGAAAAAGATGGGAGTGTGGGGGCCATAGCTCAAAGCAAATATGTGGGCACAGCAGCTTGCTTTTCTCTTTGAAGTTTGGGAGACATAAGCAGCTTGCGTGTTAATGGGATGCATCCTCTATATGCATTTTTTTTT